CACACGGAAGCCACCACCTCGCCTCCTTTCTTCGGGAAGCCCACGCGTCCCGCCAAGGACGTGGCCAAGAACCTGACGCCGCTCGACGGGCAGCGCCCCTCGGGGTTGGACTGCGGTCAGACCTGCAAGTGCAAAGCGCCCCTGATTCCCATCTCCAAGGAGTCCCATCCGCTGTACAACCGCATCAGGACCGGGAAGGTACTCAACTGCGCCATCCCCTGCTACCAGCCCTACTTCACCCAGGATGAGAAGACCTTCGCCACCTTCTGGATCGGCCTCTGGTCCATCCTCTGCTTCCTCTCCACCTCAACTACAGTGGCCACCTTCCTCATTGACATGGAGCGCTTCAAGTACCCCGAGCGCCCCATCATCTTCCTTTCCGCTTGCTACCTCTTCGTCTCCGTGGGCTACATCGTCCGGCTGGTGGCGGGGCCCGCCAACGTGGCTTGCAACCCAGAGCACCACCACATCCACTATGAGACCACGGGCCCTGCTCTCTGCACCGTGGTGTTCCTCCTCCTCTACTTCTTCGGCATGGCCAGCTCCATCTGGTGGGTCATCCTGTCCCTCACCTGGTTCCTGGCGGCTGGCATGAAGTGGGGCAATGAGGCCATCGCTAGCTACTCTCAGTACTTCCACCTGGCTGCCTGGCTCATCCCCAGCGCCAAATCCATCACTGTCCTGGCACTCAGCTCTGTGGATGGTGACCCAGTGGCTGGGGTTTGCTATGTGGGCAACCAGAGCCTGGAGAACCTGCGGGGCTTTGTGCTGGCACCATTAGTGGTTTATCTCTTCACCGGCAGCCTCTTCCTGCTGGCTGGCTTCGTCTCACTCTTTCGCATCCGCAGCGTGATCAAGCAGGGAGGCACCAAAACCGACAAGCTGGAGAAGCTGATGATCCGCATAGGCATCTTCACCATGCTCTACACCGTGCCTGCCACCATTGTCATCGCCTGCTACATCTACGAGCAGCACAACCGGGAGGCGTGGGAGCAGGCACAGAACTGCTCCTGCCCAGGGGACCCTCACCGCCTCAAGCCCGACTACGCTGTCTTCATGCTCAAGTACTTCATGTGCCTTGTGGTGGGCATCACCTCCGGCGTTTGGATCTGGTCTGGCAAGACGCTTGAGTCCTGGCGGCGCTTCACTGCCCGCTGCTGCCGGGCCAGGAAGCCTGCGGGCGCCTCCATGTACGGCGAGGCCAGCCCGGCACTGGCGGGCAGGACCGTGCTGCCCAGCATGGCCTCCTACCACAAGCAGGTCCCGCTGTCCCATGTATGACCGGAGGGAGCCTCGGTGACCACAGGGAGGAGAGGGTTCAAAGACCCTGGGCCACAGAAGAGGGGGTGACATCTGTGCCGCCCCTGGAATCCTCAGCCCCGCTGTGGTGGTGCTGCCTGGGACCAAGTGTGT